TTTTTTACTAAGATCAGTGTATTTCATCTGACATTGAGTCACTGTTGACCACACAAATGTCTTGTAGTCTGAGTTCCCTCGTTTGTGATTCAAGCTTTATTCCTTTCATGTGTTTGAATCCGAGTTAAGTTTCATTTAGACTCGAGTTCATCGAGTCTATAACTCCCACTTAATGTTGTATAGCACGAGTTCAAGTGCTTTGTTCGGATCCAGATCCAGTTTAAATCAAAGTCTTTGTTTGATGCTCTAGTCTTGCTCAAGTCCCCTGTAGTCCTTTGAGTTCAATTGCATGTTCATTTTCTTGTTCAAATGATTTGAATTTGAGTTCAATTTGATTTTATTTTATTTGAGTTTGAACCTTTAGAAATCATTTAGAATTTGTTCAGGTTCAGGTCCACAAGTCCACTGTTCATCGTACAGGTCCTCTGCTCATTTAGTTCAAGTTCTATACATTTCTGTTCAAGTACAGGTCCTCTATATTGTTGCCCAAGAAGGTCTTCTTATTATTCAAGTCTTTGTACATTTCAGTGAAAATTTCGGCAGCACCTCGGCATATCCCCCGTTTTGGGGAAAATAGGGGAGCTGGGCCTTCCCACCACGCTACTAGAGCGTGTATGGTAGGTGTCCTCAAACACCGCGGCCGTAGAAATTTCATCCCACCACGCTACAAGAGCGTGTATGGGGCCTTCAGTAGTACCCGTACCAGAACAGCAGTGATGTACCAGAACAGTAGTGACTCCCCACCACGCTACAAGAGCGTGTATAGGGCTTACCCACCTCGCCGTATGCTTCGCACCGGGCTCCCTCCTACTGTGCTACAAGAGCGCGTATAGGTGGTTCCCCGGTCCGCTGCAAACGTCGAGAATGGGATTTTGGAACATCATACCTTTGCATAGCGGTGTCGTCGGCGATGTCGGTGTCGAGGTTGAGGACCGTCCCCACCACGCTACAAGAGCGTGTATAGGTTTTAAATGATTATTATTAAGAATAATTAAATGTAATTAAAATATTTAATTATAGTTAATTATAATTAATTATTATTAAGATTAATTAATTATAATTAACCAAAAATTTAATTAATTAAAATGTCCCTCCCTCTCACTATCTCTCTGTTCTGCAAAATGAGAGGATTTGGCCGAGAAGCACGTGAAGGGTAAAAGGTTACCTTCACAGCCACGAGCTCCCGTCTGCTTCCGATCAAAATGTCTTAACTTCTGATCCAAAAGGTAGGGGCGGCGTCGGTGGGAGCAAAGTCGAGCGGCCATGGGGGATCACACCGAGCAAGCTCCCGTTTGCAACTTCCGATCCAAATGTTGTGACTTCCGATTCTGCAGGAAGGGCAAGCCGTCGAAGGACGAAGTCGAACTAGCCACTAAGGATGCGGAGAAGTGGCGGAAGGGAGAAAGTTAACTTCCACAGCAAACGAGTTCTCGTTTTGCTTCCGATCAAACTATAGTAACTTTCGGACCGACGGGAAGGAATGTCGTCGAGGGAGACAAGTCGGTCGACCACGGAAGAGCCGGAGAAGCGCTCGACGGGGAGAGAGTTACCTTCACAGGCGAGCTCCCGATCTTGTTTCCGATCCTACAGAAGAAAAAGTCATCGAAGGTGCATAGTCGAGCGGCGACGCAGGAGCGAAGTCGTTCGGCCGCGACGAGGCTGCAGTGGCGATCGAAAGGGAGATTGGGAACGAGCGAGAGCGGAGAGCCAGCGAAAGAGTCAAACGAGGCCTTCGTTTTCTTTTTTTATTTAACGACGCCAACGGGTCGTGTAGACGACGCGAGGTATGGCCTCGTTGTGCGAAGAGCGGCAACGACGTGCGGGGGCAGAGAGCAGGTGAGCGAATGATTTGATTTTTATTTTTCTTGTATACGGGTCAACAATATACTAATGAGTGAATGATATAAAACATAAAAAAACATAAGATATGAAGTGAAATCAAAATATCCCAATAATAAGACAACATGAAATATAGTTCAAGTCAAAATTCTATCTTTCCCAAATCCTAGTATTCTTTTCATTAGCATATAATTCAAATTTCCAAAACTAAATAGCAATGACATATCACATAAAAACTCATAAGTCATCAGCACTGTCATCTCTAATGGGTTCTTCATTTGAATCATCATTATGATGAACTGCTCTCTTCCCTTCCTCCTCTCCTATAGAGTGAGTCCAATGTCGGGCATTTACCTCAAGATTTATGTAAGTTTTAATATATATAGTGTGAGGCGTAAGCCTCATGCCAGTGAGGCGAGGCGGGCCTCAACCAAGTTGAGGTGTAAGCCTCATAAAAAAACTCGATGCGTTTTTTACTGGAATTGCGCAAAGGCGGGCCTCAAGGCGAGCATCATGTTGCGCAATTTTAAACCATGGTTGGACGCAACATTGTGGATGTAGGACTATGCTGGCTAACTTAGCCGGATTGTTGTTATGAGCTTTTTGGCACGTCCAATTTTGGAGTTCATTTACAATGACTTAACTAATTCAAATATAACATTGAAGTTCAGTATGGGTTAGGCTTGTGTGCATACTTGTTTGCCATTTTACTAGTTGCAGTGAACTTTTGCTTGTAACTTTTACCTGAACATCTTTGATATATGGAATTATTTCAATTATTTTGTGCATATATTATTTTTATTATAAGAAGCTTTCCGTTGTTCCTTTGAAGTTCATTTATAGTATTTTTTCCTTTAATAGAAGGTTTAGAATTTTTTTTCAACATATTGGATGGTGCAGTGCGCGCATATTGAAACAACGTACTAAAAAATGCTACTAAGCCCATCAATGTAAACATGCCATGTTGTTTGCATCTATAAGTTTGGAATTGAGAGCTTATACATGTAGGGTGTCCAACCTTACATGTACTACACTCTAACTATCTATAAAAAAATCACTAGATGTAGGTAATTTTTGTTTCATGCATATGTATTTGATTTGATTTTATTTTAGTAAAGATACTAATAGATCTAATTGTGTTGGGCAGACCTAAAAATACTTAGTTTGAAAATATTAGAAATGATACTTCTTTATTAGATTTAAACGAGAATTTGACTTTTAATAGGACAGAATAGAGAAAAATGATTCATGTAGCCGAACCCACGTAGTGGGACAAAGACTTGATGTTGTTGTACTAATAGATCTAATTGTGTTGGGGATGAGGAGTATACACCATAATGATGAAACAAGCAAGGAACTAAAAGCAGTGGAAAGTAAATGACAACAGGATTTAACATGCAAAAACCCAAATTAGAGAAAAAATCACGGAACCATACCTCACCAAGAAATTCGCTATGAAATTGGGAGAAATAAGCACGGATCTCTCTTTTCTCTCGCTATATCCTTGTTTATTTTCTCACATATTCCCTTCTCAATGACTTCACATCAGAAATACATGGGAAACCAAGTAAATAACTCCAAGGGATTCAACCCTTAAGAAAAACGAGAAAAAAAACTGTTCAGTCCTTCTTGCAGCGTTGCGATGCCATATTGGGGTGCTACGGCGCTCAAGCCACTGCCTGATGATGTTGCGGCGCTCAAGCCTATGCTTGATGACGATGCGGTGCTCAAACTTGCAACGATGCAACGTTGAATTTGTAGCATTCCTACGCGAATCCAGAGCGTTGTGGCACTCTACTCTCTGTATATTAGCGTTGGGGCGTTCGGGAACACAACGTCTGGTCATACGAAAAAAAATTCCAAGTAGAGGTAAACCCCCACGCCCAAGAAAGTACGATAAACTTGCGATCTGAGGCAACAGAACAACCTGATTGATCATCACAATCAGATTCCACACATACAAATTATAGTTTGAATGAACATGAGTCATGAAGCTCTCAATAAATAATATTAAATATTAAGTTCTATCGTAAATAAATTGATAGTTTGAAAGATAATCAGGTATAAGCACTTTACTACATGACTTTTTATTTCATTAAATTTAATTTCTAGGAAAAATTTCACTGAATTTTATTATGCACTATATAGATCCTTTAGAAAACTTAACATTTCTTCTGTCGCACATTGCCTCTTTAAGTTTTAGAGTTTGGAGATATGAGTGCCGCTTATCTCTTCGAGGCATGTTGAGTTGCATCTTTTTTATTGTGTTATTAGGCAATTTGATTGGCAACTACAGGTAGATGTCGAGCCTATAAATCTATAACTTTCAAATGAGTGGATGGTAGAGGCAAGACGCATATTGACTAGCTAGATTATCATCATGGCGCCTGTACATTAAATCAAAATAATAATAACTGTACAATTTCTTGTTACTTGCAATGGTATAAATTATGGGCTTCGCTATATTTATTTCAGGTTGAGCTCTAACCTTCCACTACTTACTATCATAGGTCTCCAATCGAATGACTTTATGCAAGTATCACACTTTTTTGCGTTATTTTTCTTTAATCTTATGTTACCACACTCATAAAAAAAAGTAATGGAAGAGATAATTGATTTAATTGAGAGTTTATTCCGATGATTCTATAGAAGTGATAGAAAAGATTCAAGTGAGATGATGCTTGCTATCAATTCATTTTGCACAAAAGCCTAATAACTTTGAAATATGGTCCGCTCTGCGACCTTCAGAGAGCTTGCAGATGAGGCTAATGATAATATGGAGCCAATTCGACATGCTACGTAACAAAGCTTATGGAGTACAGGTCCATCAATGTCAGACCCAATTTTTACTCCCACGCAACCTCATTATTAATTTCCATCATTTAATATGGGATGAGATCAACATTTAGGTGGTCAATGTGGAAGGTAATTGTTCATCTTGTAAAAGAGGCTAAGTAGATCATATAATTTAAAAAAACTCTGTACATATTTCTCTTATGAACTTCACTCGTACTTCTAAATAATATTTCTATGATCTAAATTTATCATAAATTTTAGAAAAAAAAAATACTTTATTTACGTCTTCAACTCATGTTTTTTATGTCCAAGACGCATTTAGCTCAGCTTATTCATACAAGAACCTGCTATTTGAAAAATTGCAGGATGTTCAGTTTGTTATTGGACAGACAAGCAGAGTGGCGGCTGCTTTCTGGTATCCAACTGGAGGAAAACCATGGAGCAAGTCTCAACACTATTCAGCTAGCTGTGACTGGCTGCCATTAGACATAACTGCACCATCCTCCTCTTCTTCTTACATGACTTCATCAAATAGTTCATGGGATGCTGCTACTGCCTTTTCTTTGCTTCTTTCGGTGCTCGCGTTCTGCCTTTCAGTTTTTCTTGGATACTGGGTTTCTAGAAGTAAGGCAGTGCCTTTCACGCCCATTGATGGCCTCTGATTATAAGATGAATTCTCCTCCTTAGAAGAAGAAGACCCAACGCACAAAATTCTTTAATTGGATTTATATTTCATGTTCTACTGTAGCTTTTGGATTTGATTGTAATTTATTTTGCAGCGTTGAGCGTACTAAACTTTTTTTTGTTGGGTGCATTTTTAGATTATGCGCTGTAGAGTTTACTTGGAATACTATCATCTGTAAAATTGTGAACGACTTATTCAAAGTAGATCAATTTGTGTAGAAGTTTAAGCCTTGGTTAAATTTATTATTATTATTTTTTTTCTCTGCTGCTTTCGGTTTGGTTATGATCTGATCTTACATTTTGCCAAGGAAAAATAGTTTGGGATTTTCTATAGATTTTACTTCTTGTTTGATATTTTGAATCTTGTGGATTTTTTACTTTACCATTTGGAAATCATTCCTCTTAAAATAAATCCATTCCTACGTAATATTGGTGTACTAGTTGCTACCATTTAGAGAGCATATATAATAACAAAATGCATTACTCCCCTTGCTCGTTTTAGAAAAGCTTCTTTATAGAGTTAATTTTAAGTCCAAAGCTAAATTGTGCAATTGAAAACATGTGGATACATGATGATTATTTTAAAGAAAACTATTAATTGATCTAAAAAGTAAAAACAATTTTGCTTCTTATGTAACTTTTTAGCTTCCCTCTCATTGATTTTTATGATTCCAATTTTCAAACTTGTTTATGTATAGTCTCCTATTTAATATATATTTTTATGATACTTTTTCTTTTTGTAGTTAAAACTTACATCAAGATGTATTCTCAAATTTTTAAGGGTGCTCTAGAGCTTTATTTTTTATGATGTTATAATTTCTATGCAAATGCTGCTACTTTTTTGACAAATTTCTATGCGTTTTTCTTCAACAATTTTGGGCATTATTAGTGCACTTTGAGCAAAGATATTTGCTCAATCCAAGTGGGGTAATTTTTTTTTCTTTTACAAATACTTCAATTTTTTTTCGATCAAGCAACCCATGGACTCAACTAAGTCAATTTTTCTCAACTTCGAAGCTCTAGTGTTTCGAGCTCGCCTCATAGTTATTTCTCCAATTAGCTTTTTTTTTAGAGGGGAAACTTACAACGGGGTCTACGCGTTAATTAAAAAAGCGATTACAAGGTCCTTAAAGGAAACTCAAGCTCACTACTGCTCAGGTGAGCTACAAATAGAAAAGGCAAAAAAAAAATCCTATGAGCTCAAGTTCCCTATTAAGCAAAAATACAAAAAAAATCCTAGGTACATTCTACGGTGCATAAGAAAGAGCACCCAAAAAATCATAAAGGTACAAAAATTAATAACCATCTCCACATTCCTTCTGATCCACTCAACTGCACGATCACCTACAAGGCAAACACTCTGCAAAACAAAGTAAATGATAGAAACACGAAAATGGCATAAAAAATTTCTCCAATTAGCTATTGATCAGTCTTCTAGGCTTTGTACTATCTTTTCCTTTTATAGTGGCATTTTGTTATTCATGGTCTTAAGGTTTTAGATTTTTTTTTCTTTTGAAGAGCTTCATAAATTTTTTATGTTAATCTAACTATAACGCTTTTTGATCAATATGTAATTGATCTTCTTTTTTTTATTTGATATTAAGTTATGACTCCAGAGTTATCAACTCCCCTACTCCCCACAAACACTCACAAAATCTATCATGAAAAATTGATTGTATGACCGATATGATATGAACCTAACCTCTCATTGGACCGAGATCTTGTTAGCTTGCGTTGATTACAAAATATTTAATATTAGGGTGCAGAGATAAGATTAATAAACATCGATCGATCTTATTCTTCTCTTTTTTATAGTAAGATATTCTTGTGATTTTAAACTCTATTATAGGAGGTAAGTTGCTAAAAATCGATTTTTTTTTTAATTCTAACCCATTATTTACTAATTTTGTGTGCATGCATAAACATGAAATTGAAAAGCAAGCACTTCCCTTGGCCCTGTATACACTTTCAAATACAGAATCACAAAAACCTTGGAAATATCTTTTTTCCAACGTCCTTCTTTCAATGTTTATACAAAAGAAAAATAAAAGACTATTCTCATTTCATAGAATATTAATGAACTATTCTCATTTCAATGATAATGTTCTATATCTAGAACATCATCATTGAATAAATAGATTCGTAAGTCTAAAACATGGAGTTAGCTTTATATTTTAAACTTGTTATATATCTTGTGTATCATCTTTGAATATAATTTATTAGTAAGTCTAAAAAGACAGATTAATTATATGTATATGAAATTTATAAAACACAAGCTTTGAATATGACAAGGTGTCCATTAGACCAAATTTAAACCCATCATTGATCCCTGAATCAATTATGACTTTTAGGCTAAAAAAAAAACCCTTTGCAGATTTATTTGCAAAATGTTTCATATCAACTTGAATATGTTGCTTCATCCTCTATGTAGCAGTTCAACTTGACCTTTAGGTGATTGTTTGTCTATTAAGGTGAGACTTTTTTAATATTAGCTCGTTCAACATTTTATGTATTGGAATGGAAACTCATCTTTAGATAGTACATGGATAAGTGTCTATCCAGATAACTAACCTTGATGCTTTTTTGAGATTGTTTGGCTATTATCAGTGAAGTTTTAAATGTCAAACTTAAGTTCAAATTTTGAGTGGACACTCCAAGGAACATACAGGTGATAGGCACTTATCTGGTTTGGGGACATGTTGAGATGATTCTTGTATGAGAATAATTCTTCCCCTTTAGGTTTTATTTAGACCTTAGGCATTCCTTCCTCATAGTAGATCATACCTATAAAACATCTCCTAAGGGGTAACACAAGGACTTAGCATTGGGAAGCCCCAAAAAAACTAATCCCTTTAGACATTTCCTAATAACCATAAGATGAATTGAGATGACCTAAAAACCAAACCCTAGGTCCAAACTCTAGGTAGATCCAAATCTCATAAAACCAAAATTTAGTTTTAGCAGCATGCTCCTCTGTACTGGCGATTCTGAGGCAATATAGGGTTCCTTCTCTCCCGCCTCTTCTCTTCGCTCTTGGAGTTGTTGGTTTGGTATTTTCGTGCATTTTTCTTCTCTGTTGGCTTCCTCGATATTTCTTGAGCTTTGTTTTGAGGTTTTTCTTGATTTTCTGATTGTGGGAGATGACGTCCCCAACGTCATCTATCTCAGCTTTGTCTTCGTTCCCTAATGGGAAAACTCATTCCTTTAACGAAGTTTTGGCGGGTTCTTCTTCGTGTTTTGCTAAGCTTCGTTTTGTTCTTACTTCCTTTAAGGGATCTTCGGCACTAATGTTTGATGATTCTGTGGTGTTGTAGCTTGCTGCGCCTTTCGCTCTTAATTTAGTTGGCAAGTTTGTTCTCCGTATGCCAAACTTAGATGTGATTCAAAAATTTTTCATTAACCTTAAACTGTTCGGTTCCTTTCACATAAGTTTGCTGGATCTGCGTCATATTGTGATACAACTTACCAACGATCATGATTATAGTTATATTTTTTCAAGGAGATCTTATTATATATAAGCTTGTTAAATGAGATTACTTAAACGGACTCTGAATTTTGATGTGCGTGAGGAATCTCCTATAGTGCCTGTGTGGATCTCATTCCCAAATTTGTGCCTTCATTTTTTTAACTCTTTGAAATCATCCATGAGGAAAATACCAAAGGATTAAAGCAAATGCAAGTTCCTACGAGTCATTGTAGGAAACTCATTATATATACAATACACTATCTAAAAAAATAAATGCAAAGTAATTACGGTGGGTAGAAGTATCTACAAGAAAAGCAGAAGATTCGTTAGTGGACAACAAGCTACATATAGAAAGAAACGAGCAGTGTATGATAATCTAATTATATGAAATGGGCAAATGACCACACTACAATGCCATGCCACTGAATTCCCAACATCTATGTAAGAAGGCCATTATAAATATTCCAAGAATACCCTCGCACTTAATTGCATTGTAATCTATATGCACATCAATACACAAAAGGGCATGTGTAATCACACGACACATATTGGCCCCGACAAGCGTATTATGGGTACACACGTGACGTCTAGGGATGTTGCATGGGTCAATAAAAGAGCTCTAGTTTGAGCCTATATAGGAGTCAACACATCTCAAACTATTAAACAAATATGTACTGTTATAGCGTCAATTGAGATATTTAAGCGTTTACTCTGCCGGAATGTCCGCCGGTGAAAGCCCTATTTTTCGGCACCGAGCCCCTTTGGTCGCTCATTCGTTTCCTTCCCTTCTCTCACCTCGCGTGTTTTGCCCGTCGCCATCCGTCGCTCGCTGTGGACTGACGTCGCCGACGGTCACCTGACTTCACCGCCGACGGTCACCGGACTTCGCCGAGCATCCTTTCCTCTCTTTCCTGCTCGCGCGCCGCCGAGGGTCGTTTTTCACCGATGGAACGTAAGGTATTTTGTTTCTTTTTTTTTCCTATTTTGGTTGGGTTACATCAAGGATCAGTCTTAAGTCCATATCTTTTTGCTTTAGTCATGGATCATGATTATAGTTATATTTTTTCAAGGAGATCTTATTATATATAAGCTTGTTAAATGAGATTACTTAAACGGACTCTGAATTTTGATGTGCGTGAGGAATCTCCTATAGTGCCTGTGTGGATCTCATTCCCAAATTTGTGCCTTCATTTTTTTAACTCTTTGAAATCATCCATGAGGAAAATACCAAAGGATTAAAGCAAATGCAAGTTCCTACGAGTCATTGTAGGAAACTCATTATATATACAATACACTATCTAAAAAAATAAATGCAAAGTAATTACGGTGGGTAGAAGTATCTACAAGAAAAGCAGAAGATTTGTTAGTGGACAACAAGCTACATATAGAAAGAAACGAGCAGTGTACGACAATCTAATTATATGAAATGGGCAAATGACCACACTACAATGCCATGCCACTGAATTCCCAACATCTATGTAAGAAGGCCATTATAAATATTCCAAGAATACCCTCGCACTTAATTGCATTGTAATCTATATGCACATCAATACACAAAAGGGCATGTGTAATCACACGACACATATTGGCCCCGACAAGCGTATTATGGGTACACACGTGACGTCTAGGGATTTTGCATGGGTCAATAAAAGAGCTCTAGTTTGAGCCTATATAGGAGTCAACACAGCTCAAACTATTAAACAAATATACGGTCATAGCGTCGATTGAGATATTTATTTTAATATATTTATATAAGGCCTTCAAGGTCAATGACAAAAGAAAATCATCAATAAAAATATAAAGCATACGGAACCTAATCCTCTATCTACAGCTCGATAGAGTCGATAAGGTTCAATCCACAAATGAAAATGACCCCAAACACCTCGATGATGGCCGTATTGAAAAGTAAATCTCAACCAGAGGGGTTAATTCTAATATTTTATAAAATTCTATCCAAACACCCACGAAAACTCAAAATACAAAATCCAAAAGTTCCAAAAATCTAAAATATTTAGAAAATGAAATTATCAATCTAAATATTTAAAGCATAAAATTCATCCACATTCTGCAATAGTTTGTTGAGGTAAACAAATTAAAAACTACTCCAACTTATAAAGAGCTAATGTCTTATCAAGAATAATACTATGATTCATTCTCAAATAATTTTCTTCTAGTAAGGACATGGCACGAGTCCTCTAATTAGCAGTTTTGCCACCAAATGATGTTATAGGTAAATAGTTATGACAAGGGCTCTCTAAACCGGGTGGTTTTCCACCAAATGGAACCATTAAATTATGGTTATGGCTACAGCCCCATATGCTCCACAGTGGCATCAAATTCTTGAGATATGAATCAATATGATATAATTGATAGGGCACAAAACCCTCTATTAGCTAAGGTGGATTCAAACTTATCCCCTTAGATTGGCATTCTTCCCAAGTCTACAAGGACCCCTTGGATGATGCAACCCATGGTTGCCGACAAGGATCTTTCTGTCAGGTTAGTAGGTCGACTACCTCCTCTGACTAAGTAGACCAGGGACCACGATGGCTCGGGACGACGGAACCATGAGATTCTGATCGGGTCTATCATCCATTTCCCCACCATACGCTTTAAGTGCAAGATGGTGAAATTTCTATTTTAAATATCAACTTCCAAATGCTCTAAAGCCATGCTGCTACTATATGCCAGATAATATGTATTTTTACGTATTTGATCGACAACTACCCTTTCTTGAAAGTTCTCTCTCGTGATCGGGAAGGATAATTACCTATAGGAGCTTGCACCTATAGGAAACCAAAACTCAGATCATAAAGTCCTCGCAAAATGAGGGCGAAATCTCTGGGTAGTGTATTCTCTACAAACTCATTTGCCTTCCCAAAGTTTACCCAGAGCTTAATCCATTAAAACTCCTCCGAAAAGCAGCAGGGGAGGCTGGGGCCGATTTTTTGGAGCCCAAAGTAGATTAACATCACTTAGCATTGAACCACCGCATGTTATGAAGAAAAAGATATCTTCCAAAAATTAAATTTATATACCTTCCCAAAAGATGATAAATTCAACTTAGTTGGGTGGATATATATGGGTGGAGGAGCTTCATGGTCATTTTCTTGTCGTTGCTGGCGAAGATCGATCTTTATCTCGTGAATCATGATGATATATTTATATTCTTTAGTTACTCTAAAAATTTAGTTATTTAAGAGAAGAGAGAGAGAGAAGCTAGTTACGTTGTCAACTCCAAACCAAGCAACATGGACAATAAAAAAAAATATCATGAAACGATAAATGATATTGACATCAGAATGTGGCGATCAGTCTGAACATACGATTGATTAAGAAATTATCATTATGTCATCATTAATATAGTTTTAACTATATCAACTTTTAGGATGATCTTATAAAAGAAGTATGATAATGACCCACAAGGCCACAACCTCTTTATATTATATTCCTAATATATATAAAATTTAATTTAGATATTGGGATGAGGTTCAGTTATCATAAAAAAAGTATACGATTATGCTTGTGTTATGTCCCTATCTATTCTGCGAGATTAAATTCTTTTAAATAGAATTTATGGATTAGATCCAATCTACCCAAAAAAATATTCCGTTTATCAAATAAAAAGATAATTCATTAAATTGAGCGTAACGCTAATAAGACAATAATGACAGAAAGTGATGATGGTTGAAATATTATTTCTCCTCCTTCTCTCCTATACTTCTTACATTAGAGGGCATTCCACTATCTTAAATAGGTGGTATCACCTATCAAGCTCCAGTTCTCCTTCTTTTGTAGGAGTCCCGATGAGAGATCATTCTCCCCACATGACCAAAAATCATAAACCGCCTCCTATACAAAATGATGGTTCAAAGTGACCAAACAAGGTAGCAAAGGCTGATGAAGGTGGTCAGGCTAAACTTTGTTGGAGATAATATAAATGAATGCTATCAAGGGCATATAACAAACAACTTGATGGAGAAGATCGAACACAATGTTGAATGTAACAATCCAGCGGCGCACACTTATGGTGCAAATTTATTGGAGACCTGATGGTCTTGTAGTGGTTTGCAAGAAATTTTATGATATGCTCATTATTACTCCAAAAAAAGTTTGGTAGGGAAAGGGTGTGCTCCTCCACTGTGATAGAAGTTTGATCACTTTTTCCATATGCTAATTATGGCTTGTATAGACATAAATTAGACAAATAAATCATTGTATATATTTATAGGAGAGAAAAGTGCTTTTCTGGACATAAATCATATCATTGAAGACTAGAAAAAGTCAAGAAGTCTTTATCATACCATCAAGAAATCAACAATCACATTCAGGTGGCTCATATATAAAATTTGATGCTCCATTCTCTTGATGAGGTTTTTATTTGTGGCTTCTTGAAAGGAGATTGACTGGTACAACGTAAAATTGAGATTGTAGTTAAGGTCTGGTTCCAAGCAATGCATCCAAGGATTCTCATTCAGATTCATATAATGATGGAATTGACAGCGAGCTTAGAGAGCTTAGAAAAGCATTTACAAGTGATAATAAAAAAGTTGAGATTATGTAAAAAAATTTATTATGAAATATTTTTTTTATTATGATGCATTTTTATTATGTAAATTTTTTATATTATGAGATTATATAAAAAAGATTATCATTTTGAGATTTTAATATATTTGTATCTTTTGAGACTTTTATTCTAAGATTTTTGAGTACTATGCCTTTTGAGTCTTTTGACCTTCTAAGGTCATTTAATGAATGATGACTCTGTCCTAGAATTTTTCTAGTGACCTAGTCTAATAGTAGCCTTCCTTCAAAGCTACGTCATTAGCTTGTGGGATAATAACAAAGTTTGGATGGTTCTAAATTTAATTTGGATGCTCCCAAATCATATTTACATTGAGATCCGCGTATGATCAAGATGATTTTCGGTGATGTATAAAAATTTAAGAAAACTAATATAATTATTGTTTGTACAAAACCGATCAGGCACTTTGCCCGACATTTTTTTGGGTAAATTTAGATATAGAACTCCGCAGGTTTTTCGCAAAACTAACAGTTTAAAGTAATTTCAAGTTTTTTTAAAAAAGAGGACATTTATTACATCATTAGAGATGGAGCCAAGAGCAGCTTTTCCATCCAGCCCCAACTCCATATTCCCCAACAGCCAAGAGCCAAGAGCGCTGGTCTAATTCAAAGGAAAGGGTGAATCCGTAATATATGTTGAACCAATTATTCAACATTTTTTAGCTTACAACAAAACGAATGTCTTTTTTTTTTCCCTTTCTGGGCACGTTAAACCCTCTCTTTGTTCTCTTCACAAACTCCTTCCTATCGGCTGAGAACTGCATTATTTGACTTGACAAGGTAGTATGCTCTATGAGATGCTTCTGCTAGCTTCAAGTCAAACCATCTGGTATACCTTCGTCTTAAATTACCAAGCTTAGGGAGATTAAAAAGTAATTTGCTAATAAGTGGGACAACAAAGAAGCTAAAAAACAATTAATGCTGATGATGAATTAGTAACGGCATGTACTAATTAGCCACTTCGACAAATTGAAATTAAGGCGTCCATGGCATTGATCTATTCAATGTCTCGGAAGGGAAGTGGAACTGCCTTCACAGCTCTAAACTTGCCAACGTTGTTCAAGTGCTCGTTCTCCAACCTTCACTCATGAAAATAAGAACGTTGAATTAAATCAAGCTTAATTAAGAAAATCTAAGCTGCGTATATATATCATCATACTAGTAATTAAGTATTAATTAGCCATTAAAGAGAAAGGAAGATAAATATAAAGATAGATTAGATACCTGTAGAAGTTCCAGTGTCCCCGTCGAATAATCTCGAGAGAGGCGAGAGAGAAGTCGACAAGACGGTTCTCGACCGGCCCCAAATTTAACCTTAGCACTGCCTCTATCCACGCTAGTCGAAGCACGAAGTTCAAAGCCTGTAATGCATTCATCATGTTTCAGTATCTCAATTTTTTTTTTCTTTTTCTTTTGAGCTAAAATGTTTATTATCTTCAATAAAAAGAAGACAATTTGAATATATATATATATACACTCGTGAAGTTCTGATTGAAATATTGAAAATAGATGGATGATGTTACCATGGAAACGTAATAGATGGAGTTGTTTCTGAGAATAAGTTCATCCCTCAGAAATAGGTTTGTTGAGTAGAGGTTGAGAAGGCCCCAATCCTTAACGAAGTCCCAGTAGAGTTGGTAGAAAGTAGCAAATGTTGAGGTGATGACGACGAATGCAAGCCACATTGGAGTTGGATCGAATGCATATTTCCACCGAACAGCAGCGGCCAACATGGCTGAGATGTACTTGCCTGCGTTGGCCAGGTGGTTGGGGTCGTAGCCTTCCTCCATGTATCTCCTTGCACACTAATTATTAATTAGGACATATTTCTTTTAGTACAGTTCAAATTTAGGAGAAAGTTTTTAATTATAAGATCAATTACAAATTTTAAGTTTACATAAGCTATCTTTTAGTTTTTTAAATCTGATCAGGTTTTTAATGAGGTGCAATTTAGCTAAATTTTTTTCGGCAGTATTAGCCCACCATCTTTTTGTTAGGCTCTCTCCTTTGTATATATGATGCAAAGTATTTAATAAGTTCGGAAGGATAGTGAGTTATTCACTCAAAATGGCAAAGTATTTAAAAAAACTATAAATGAGTTAAATGAATATTGAGAAAAAAAAAACTATAAAGACTTTTATCTTGGATATATATTACAAATGTATAAAATATTATATTATTTTGAGTAAATGCTCTTGAAATAATTTCATATATATATGGACCCTGTGGGAAGTGAAAGTGACCACAACACATTCATAGGACTAATCTGGCGACTGAGCCTAGTGTATGAATGGTAAGATAGGTCACGAGAAGTAGTAGAAGAATTGATCTTCTGGAAGAAGATCAAAGTCCTGTAAGTAGTGATGTTAGTATCCGAGGCAAGGTATACCACATCACAAGGATAGCAACTCTAGGTAGTAAAGGGGACACACTTACTACCTGAGGTAATCATGTATAGAAGTGAAGTATCATCAAAAGGGTCACAGTGGTAACACCTACCCTGATAAAGTAGGACCATGTGGGGAACAAAAGCAACAAAATAACATTCATATGGTTACTCTAGCAGCTAAGAGTAGGGTACGAATATAGAAAGTAGGTGGGTAAAGAAACCAAGGAGCTGATCTTCCACTGGGAAAAATCAGAGCTCCTGAAGTTGTGGTGCTAACACCCGAGAATAGATGTACTACACCACAACTAAGAAAACCACTCTAGGTAGTAAGGGGACGTCCTCACTACTGAGGATAGTAATCATGAATAAAAATCAATGATTACTAGAAGGGTCACAATGGTAATACCACTGGCAGCTCAGAGTAGTGTATGAATGGGAGAGTAGGCTACCAAAAAGGGGGCAGCGAGGAATGATCTTTTCTCAAAAAAAACCCAAGCCCAGAAGGTAGTGATGTTGACATCTAAAATATAATGTACTACATCACTAGTAAAGAAAAAAGATATTTTGTATCATAGAGACTAATCAATCGACTAAGTGGGAACTCAACCTTGAAGAGATCAGCAAAGTGCTCTCAAGGTAGGAGAAAGAAATTTTGGAGAATTTGGACTCTTAGTGAGTTTTACCGGGTTCCTTCTGTGACAAGGGCAACCGATTTTGCTCTACTGAGAGCTTCCCTCTTTTTGTCACATATATATATATATATATATATATATATAATTTAATTCTTACATTGCTAATGGTGGCACTAAGTCAATAATGTCTTTTCTCTTTAAGTTGCATTGATGACGTCTTCTTTCACTTCTATATGAGTAGGCCCAAGTGTTCCCACTCACAGTACTAAAGCTCAATTCAGCTTTGACAAGTGGTTCATCTGCATGCTTGGTGATTCCCTTAAGTCATATTTATGCAGCCGATTAAATAAAGTTCAAGAGCATATCACACGCATATGTTTTTGCGATTGATTGGCTCCTGATTTCAATGAAATTAAGGGGTTACGGTTTAATTAAATTTTTTGTTCAATTGATGGGAAAATCATATCAAGATAGACGATTATATTGATATACATCAGATTTCTGCATTTCAATATGAAATAAGAGAATAAGTTGTCAAATAATATTTAAATTAAGCTTTCAAATTATTGAGATATTGCCTCTTCTACTAATTCTTGAATAGGGGAGAGATTTAATTCCGTAGTCCCCTTGTAATATTTGAGTTCCGGTGATGTCGTATGAAAATAAAGAACGTTAATCATCACTTCCGTCTGCTAATCTCAATAAATATCCCTTTATGTCAAATCTAACAACACGACCTAATGATTAGCAATCAAAGATATGTAAACCGAACAAGAAGCATTAAGATAAAATTGGATACGATCTCTAGGTTGCAATTAAGGTTTTCAATGTATTAAATTAAGATATACATATAAATGTCTAATTCCATGCAAGCAAGGCACACTTTCATTACTATTAGATGGTTGTGCCGTGCCATTAAACTTTGTTTAATTGTCTATGTATTCAATTATTAATAATGCGGATATATAAGTTTCTAATTATGACTTTCATTCAAGTATTACTATTCAAATCCATTTATTTATTAAAATATATAAATGGAAAATACACAAGTTCTTCTTTGCTATAAAAAAATTTCTTCTTCTACTCACTATGCCCAAAAAATATGTATGAAATCTGCTACTCGTCAAAATAAAGAATATAACCAATACCATTGCCAGCATAATATTCCAAAGTTTAATTAGTGGGAGTATAATTTATTAAATATAAAAGTTAGTGGGTTTCTTGAATTATTTTGATCATTTTATTGGACACTGCAAGATGCTATTAAATACTGATTGGACAATACAGCATGCTCTAAACTCTAAATAAATTCTGTAAAGTTGATTGTTTAACTTTACAGAAAATGACAACAAAGCAAGTAAAAGTTAACGGGCAAAGCACGCAACACATAACTAAGTATAAACCGAAGATAATATAAATTAAAAACAAAAGTTAATTAAAAAAATTATTTTGATATATGGGGATCGAATGGTATAATATATGTACCTGAAAACAGGGTAAACTGTTTCCATGTAACCTGGTTCGAATGTGGACGAGAAAATACCAGATATGTGCGCTAAGAAGGCGTACACAGTAAACAATGTCACAAAGCTACCTGTGAACAAACCTGCAACACATACGTAGAAGGAATGCAGTAAATGGGTAGATGTTTAGGCTGATATCATACCTTTTAATAAACCAATGATGTTGAACAAATATCAATTTTTAAAAAAATTGTTTCTCAGCAAAAATGTCTATATCGCGTCATTAATCATTATAGTCCAAAAATATATTTATATATTGCAATAAATGAGTGGGGGCGGTTACTATTTCAATAAGGTTCTGATTATGCACTGTACTCCATTAATTTATGTCAATATAACTTTTCAATTATATGCAGAACTATAGGTGCAGGCCAGGCCACGTGGCTCTCACTTCATTAACTTCAAATGACGTTTAGAAAATTTTAATTACTCATTACTTGTTATGTTGGACGTTAAGTTTGATTTTTTGAACTTCCCTCCATCTTAGAGATGATTCAAAATCAACTCCAATGATTATTCTTTTTAGCTTTAAAAATAGTCATAGCTAGCTTACGATAGCTCAAATGGAAGAAAAATAATATCAAATTAAGCAATAATAATTTGTAATGTCGAATCAATTTGTTTTAAGTCGAATCAACAAATAGCTCATCTTGATTGGTTGGTTGAGAACTTTGACTATTTATCGAGATGTATTGGATTCAACATTTGTGTATATAATGTATGCATGAGTTTACCTTAATGACTAAAATATCCAAAATAAATAATTTTATGTCGAGTCATTGGGATGCCAAATTCTATTTAAATTTGAGTCAGATTTAGCACAGCTTTTTGCATTTGATTAAAAACCAGTTGCTCTACAACGAATCAGATGTCAACTTTATTTTAGTTAGCACAAAGTTAGGGAAAATGGTTTGACTACATGCTACTTTCAATACATCATGATTTTCTCAACTTTAAATTCTTAAATTACCTGAAAAGATGCTATTTTGTTTTATTTTCTATTTTTTTATTTTTTTCCAAGTAATACGAACATATTCTATATATCTTTCTTGTTCCATGCTCATTAAGTTTGTGACGTTAGTTAACATAATATGATATTAATTAGAGGCTTGATTAAAGGTAATTGGGTTCTGGCCGGTTTGTGTGGTGAAATTATTTTGTGCGTACGTCGAACGTCGTCCAGAGACCAACTAGAATGAGCCACGTCAGTACCGCGACTCTGTACCGCTCAGTATAGCGCTCAATATTACTGACGTGGCTCATTCATGTTGGTCTCCAGATGTAAAGCTACGTTCGGCGTCCGCATAGAATAATTTCTCGTTTGTGTGGGGATAATATTGGCGTTAAGTTTGTCTTTTTTTTGTCAAGACTCCTATTCTATTATTTTTTTGTTAAATTTCTAAGACAAATATTTTATCCCTAAAGATCAAACCTGCTATACCATTCTGATTTGGTTGGGGCAACTTTCTTCTAAAGTAATTTTGTAGTACAAAATTTTTTTGGATTAGAAAGTTGCTAAGAAAATAGTAAAATAGTCATCACAAATAAAACATAAGTTTATTTTCTCTCTCTTCTTATGTTGAGCAAATTTATTGATAGTTTAAATAAAAGATTGTTAAACGTATTAGGATTTACCATGATGAATAAATCCAAATCTCAAATCCGAATAATTAGTACGCTCCTTTGTCCACATTATGATTTTGTTTGGGACAATTTTCTTATTGTTTTTTAAAATAATTTTTTAGTACAAGAAATTTTTAAATTAAAAAAATTTATACTAAAAAAATAATTTAAAAAACTGTCCTAAACGTTGTACAACCATCAATATCATTTTGTTTTTCCAAAAGTTAATGATGTTTTTTATCAGGAGAGAGGTCTATTATATATGTATAACTAGAATTTTTTTTTGGACATTTAGGTCAATTAAGACAGACTCACACGCACATCGCATACAAAAAACTCAAACTCAAAACATCTTAATTGATAGTCTAAACTCCCAACCAAAAAACAAAGATGAGTTGTATGTAATCTATTATTAATATTGTACACATGAGATGCATGAGCCTAAATATCTTGGATATCAATTACATTCTTATTCTTAGAATTTCATCATATTTGAAGATTTTTTTTTTTTATCAATGCCATTATTTCTAGCAATTAATCTATGTTTTACTAAAATAAAGCGAAAGTTCAAATTTTATATTGAAAAACAGTCCAGTTGACGTAACGTAAGATAAAGTAGAATAGCATCGTCCTTTATAAATAAATTTGCGTCAAGAATAATTATTTACTTTTTACATTTTTTACATCATTCGTGTCGTATTTTAGGACAATTAAGTTGGGGAAAAGAATAATATTTTTTCATTTTTTTGCATTGCGACAGAGAAGTTGTAGGTTATAGAAAATAAGCATCGTATACCTACGAAGAAGGTGATCATGTGGGATTCCTTGGGCTGATTCGGGCGGAGGAACTTCATTGCCTTTTTCTTGTCATTGCTGGCAAAGCACTTGATGAAAATAGTTTCCACCTCGTCCACCAACTTCACCACCTGAATTGTGATAATATATTTATATTCCTTAATTATGCGCACAATGTAATTAATTAAGTTTAAGTGGAGAAAAAGTTGTCAATCCCAGCACTAGCAACTTGCATATTAAAAAAATATATATATTGAACAATAAGCCATATTGATAAAGTAATGCGGCCAGCAGTAACTTGGACTGAAAAATTGTTTATTTTATCATAGTTATTAAAAAATGACCCAAAACTTCTTTTATATTATAATCGTGTTGTACAAAAAATTTCATGAAGTCAGAGCTGCAGTTCAGTTCTCATCTCTTGAAAAAACTTTGCAGGTGTTACTGCAAAATTATTTGTTTATTTTTGTCTTATGTGTGTATCAATATACTAAATAAATTATAGTAGTTTTGAAAGAAAAATATTTCACAGAATTGACATTAACACTAATAAGATAGAAAATTTTGATAGATAACTATTGCGGTAGATATTTAATTCTTAATGCATGATACGTTCTTTCATTGTTAGATATTACATACCCTCGAATGATGGTAGGTCATCCATTTGAGTTTTATAATGTAACAAATTATAACATATATTTTCATCATATGTTCTACGCTAATTCAAAAAAAAATTGTGCTCGACATATTCTTATTATGATAAAAATTTAAAACTTTGATTTGGTAATATTAATTATTCTCATGGTATTTTTCTGAACACTTATAGCACATTAAATAATATATAATAGAAGGCGAAAACGACAAAATTTTTTGTTCTAACTCCATAGCATTGACCTGTACAATTATGCTTAAATGTGGGTATTGATCTTCATGACTCTTGTGATGATGAAAACTTTTATTAACATGTTTATCATTTTCATTGCTAGAATAATAATTATTTTCTAAGTCATTCAACTTTTAACTTTAGTTGTTAAATTACTTATTGGCTGACGCTAAACATTCTAGTACGAAGGTGATTCGCTGGGTAAAAACGTGCAAGCAGAGAAGCTGTAAATAAATTTTTAAACTTCGGAGAAGAGAAAGAGAGGAGAAATGAGAACGGCTAAGGCACCGCAACAAAAAAAGATGCAAAATAGAAGAGATACCCTGCACTTACCTTGTCTGAGTTTACAAAGTGCGATCGCTTCACCTTCTTTAAGTAGCCGCTCGATGCCTGCTTTTTCGATACCTGCATTCTATACATGCATCAGAATATACTATCGTATCAATTTTCTATCAAATCTTGTTTATTTCTTCAGTCAATATTCTAAAGGCTTTTAAATTTAATTATCTCAAAATAACTCCATGTCATTAGGATAAATTGCACTTATGCAAATTAAAAAAATAAAAAAAAACCAAAACAAAAATGATTGGGATGTATTTGCAGACAATAAAATTAACACTTGCTCTCAATATGGAGAAATTATTATGTGCGGAGTCAAGACATAATTTTATGTTCGGATTATGAGTGAATACAGTGTCTGCACTCACATGTTCAGATATAACTCGACGTTCGTGCTCGACGTCCGTGGTCCGCATGCATTAATTTCTTTACTGTAGGATGGTTTTTTTTGGCAATGTCATGCCAATTTGAAGAAATTAATTTATGCTCCATGGAAATTTTTTTTCTTTGCAACAATAAAATAAATCGTTTTAAAATATTTCATATTTCATAAATGCAAAAATCTTGGACAATTATCTTCTAGTACTTCAGAATTTTTTTTTACGATGTATATATTCAATTTAAAAATAGGTTAAAATTAGATTAATCATATAAGCATGATGAGAAATATTTTTTTTTTAGGTGCATGATTAGAAATATTGTCTGCCATGTATTAGAAGTGAAAATACAATAAAAGTTTCAAAAAGACAGGAAATTGTACCTGTAATTTAAACGAACGTGTCAAACTTTCACGATAATTAAGCTTATTTCATTGTTTTAATTTAGAAAATATGTTTTCAAAAAACTTTGTATTTTCTATATTTCTGCATGCAGTTAAAAAAATATCATTAATAAATAATAATTAAATTTTGCACTCATGATAAAAAAATTTCTTTGATAGTTTTTTTAACTACAATCATTCAAGTAAAAAATGCGTACTGGTTGGGTCGAGTCACCAACCTCCGTAATATATATATATATAATATTGGGCAAATTTTTTTTTAAATTTCTTGGAAAATATTAATTTTGTGCACTCTTACGCAGTATATTTTTAATTACTTCTTGTTTAACGATCGCCGGAGGTCCGGGGGACCAGCCGGGGTGCCTGAGCACGCACTACTTGTTTGCAGAGATATCTTTACCGAAGTATGTTGCTTTCATTCGGTTAAGAATGGAAATAGCATGTCATGACTGTCATGTGACGAACTGTTAGCTGGTTGTCATCATGATCTGAACAGCGTAGCTTCTGTATTTTTTCTACAACTGTTATAATATGACCGTTGAATCCTTGATACGCTCAATTTGTAATTAATTAATTCATTTGGTACAAGCTAGGCACTGGCTAATTGTCTGGATATTAATGTATAAATTATTTGATCAAACAAATTCGACAATATCGACTCACGATGCAGAAGCACATAATCGCTGAATAAATCTTTGATGATTACTTGATTTATTCGTTTACATGGGAAATTTTCTGCTTTTCATTGGAATTTAAGTACGTTCTTAGTACAATTTAAATTTATGATAGGCTTATTGAATGCGAATAATCTACCAAAATATGTCTGGCTTAAAGAGAATATAAAGTTTTGACAGGAATTTTCTGACTGATGAATTATGTTCTGTGGAACATATGTCATGCTCCCCGTTTTCATCTCATCTTATTTGAAAAGATTTGAATACAGGAATAAGATCTTCATATATAGCCCAGCATTAGGCTACTATCAAAGAGCTTTGTTTAGGAAAACAATATAATAATAATTAGGTTTTTTTTATCAATTCCAAATTATACGATTGAATACTTAGGATGAAATTTAGAGTAAAAATAAAACAGATTACAAGCTTTATTATTTTCCCTTTTTCTATAAATTTCTTTAGCGTGACAAACTAGCAAATATTTTTTAACTTGCCTGACAGAGCGAACTTCATCCACTTTTACCTTTGTTACCTTTTCAATATTATCAAATTCTTCCTTGATTTAAAGTTGATGAGATAAAATACTTTTTCTTTATTACAGGACAATTTTAGACATGCCTGTAATTATCGTAATCCTAATTTTAATTTAAAACCATTAAATAGCTAAATTTTTAAATATTCCATACCCAATTTATTATTGTGTCTAATGATAGAGATATAGAAAGATATACGAGGAAGAGTGTGGGATAGAGATTCTCATTTTTTTCCTCTTTATCTACCTTTCTTTAATGTTTTTTAATATCTTTTATTCCGGGTAATTACGCCTATTATTTTTTATGCTATATTTTATTGCCAACATATCTATTTATTTAGTTCTTTTTTAGAAAATTTCTATCTAAATTAACTATAATCAGTCTTTCAGTTGGTTCGGGTTTATATCCCATCCTAAAAAATAAAAATTATGGGACTTTAGTGTGTAAATATTGTAACATCCTTAAAAAAAAAAAAAAAAAAAAAAAAAGAAAGATAACACCTGTTGCATGACTTTGCATATCAAATTATACGTTATTTCTTAAAAAGGAAGAACTTCAGCTTCACGAAAATTTTTCCAAAAAATGTATGTAAGAGTTCCTAAGACATATAAATAGTTATTTAGATAACAAATATTTTATTAAAACTATAAAATAATTAAATTTAAATTAGAAAATAATAAATTTATGTGGTCCTCTAAAAAAACCGCATAAAAATATCAAGTCTCGTATTATTTTAAGTAAAAATCTCATGTTTTTAATATTTATTTAAAATTTTCTAATTTTATTTTCATTTATTTTATAATTACATATATTATGATGAAATATAGTTGCTGCACATGTCCTGGAAAGACTCACAATTATTTACCTTGTCGTACTTCTTCAATATCTTGGTGAAGGCAATCATATTTAGTGAACTGAAAAAAAAAAAACCATAAATAAGTAGCCCGTTATCATATTATTAAAAAAATTAAACAAAATTAAATTCATGATTACTGTGGTCGTCGGACTGACGTTTATACTAATAACAGCCACGTCGTTTGGTGCGATTGACCAAAAGGATCATCATACCCACGTGAAAACAACTAACAAAATAAGTAAGAAACCTGCAGGAGCAACAAAAGTGGTTACAGGCAACATACCTGTAGTTCTTTAGCAGTCCAAGGCCTCGATACAGCTCAATGAAAGCGCCGCGGATCATCTTCTCCGCGCACTGTATCTTCTTCCGGCTGATGTAATCGCCGCCGCATTCACCTTCCTTTCTGGCTCCATTGACGAGATCCTCCCACACCATTGAGGTAATGGCTGAAATGGTCTTCCCGGGAGTCGTTGCCGGGATGTCAATCCTCATCGTCGCAGCCTTTGGCTTTGCGCCCTTCTTTGCCTTCGACCTAGCTGACCCTACGAAGCTGATGCCGTTTTTCTCCAGAGCCGAGATCACCTCTTCTGAGATCGCAGGTGACGTCGAGCTATCCGATACCGGCACATCCGTTTCGCTTGTTCGATCTGCGGCGACAATGAGTTTAATGTCAGTGCTAATTGATCAAAGGAGAAAACGGGAAACAGGGCCTGATCATAGTTACTACCGGATATGGGTGACGAGTTGAATCGATCAAGAAAGGCGCCCTTACTGGGAGATGAGCAACGCCGATGTTGACGGCGACGGAAATGCTCGTCGAGGATTTTCTTTAAATCAAGGAGGATCTGTAGCTGTTTGTTTAGGGCTTCCCCGCGCTCGCAGAACTCTCTTTCCTTTGTCTCGTAGAATTTGTTCACTTTTTCAAGTTCCTTTTCCAGTTTATTGAAAAAACTCTTTTCCTTTTGTTTATACACGAATTTGATTTTCAAATTAGGGAATAGATTAAAATTATTCAATAGCTAAGGAACGATAGAAATTTAGCAATTAGTTACCTCAACCTCAGTGGATTGAACGGGTTCCACTTCCTCTGCGCTATCGTCGTCGCACTGAACGAAATAAGATATAATTATTAAGGGAAAGACAAATTGTACGGTCACGTGTGATACGGTTGAGAGTGAAATGGCCCCCAAAAAAAAAATGGAGAAAAGGTGAGGGGAAAAGAAGAATAAACAGAGCCAGATATTTCTCTATTTCCTATTATTCATTGTAAGGAAAACTAGAAAACGGACAAAAATCCTCAGATCACCACAGATCAAGTTGGCGAAACAATTCCGTGGAATTCATCGCTTCTCGAACACCATTTTCTCGCCGACCTCGCTCCCATTCTGAGATTGGCATGTTTCTTTTAACCGAGAACACCCGATTTGGAAGAATCTCGCAGCAAAATTGAGAGGGAAAATGAATGAGGAATGGCAGATTCGTATATACCGTAATAGATAAATCGCGATGGTCGCGTTTAGATGTCGAGGTGAAACCGGCAGCAAGAGCGCGAAAACCGTCGAAGATGGAAATTCCGAAGCTGGGTATTTCTTCGTCCCCGGCTGCGGCAGCATCGGGATCCAACCTTTGATGGAGGGAAATCTTAATCTTCTTGACCTGCTTCTTGAGCTGACGGTAGTTGACGAATGCGTCTTTCCACTCTGGAATAAGCTGAGCTTCCAACTCTCTCGAGAACTTCACCATTTTCCCCTTCTTCTACTACAAATATTTGCAAGAGAACAGTAGAGGAGGAGAGCAATGAGTGAGAGAAAACCAAATGTTGCTTTTGTGAAAGCTGGAGGTGAATTGGTTCAAGAGGTTGAGTGTTTTATAGAGTTAAGAGAGGCTGGAAGGATGCTGAGGGAGTAATGCATTAATCACTGGATTTTAAAACATAATTTTTGTTTGTATTAATTGCATAAAGTGTTGACATCATTTTTTTTATATTATTTAAATAATAATAAGATAGTATAATTTAAATAAATAAAATATTATTTCGAAAAGCTAATTATTAGAAATGAGATATATTATCACATATTATCACATAAATAAGTTGATGTAATCTGATGTTCACATGCAATATAAGGATTAAACTTTTTGAACTAGATTGTAAAAAAAAAAAATATTATTTAAATTAAATTAAAAATATAAAATTTATTTTTGATATGCTAAAATAATAAAATGAGATATTTATCAAAATCTTTAAATAATATAAATTTATAATATATAAAATATGTTTATTTTATTTTTGAAGGTTAAAATTCATATAAATTTGAATGCGTTTTGAAATATGTAAATTTTTTTAATAATATTTTTTAAGTTTATAATTTATCATATAAAATAAGTTTTATAAAGTGAAAAAAATACACCTTAGGAAATACAACTCTTAAACTTGTAATTTTTTGTTAGAAGACATACTTTTATCCCTCTTTAGCTTCTTTTCTGTTAGAAGGTTTTGCTTCTCACTGCTTTTCACTTGATACCTTTTTTTTTTTTTTTTTTTATTTTTGTTTCTTCTCACTTGTTACTTGAATCTTAAGATTCTTTCAATTAATATGGAACAAAGAAGTTGAATTCATGATAATGAGAATAACATTTAAAATAAAATAACAATATTATTAACAATCAGAGATATTTTTATAGCTTCAATAATATTTGCATTAAATATATGATAGAAATAATACAATATGTGATATATTAAAGTGTGGGAAATCTAATTAATTCATAATAGTACTAATATATTGTTCAACTATAACTATATATATTTTTATTTAATTACTATGCAATATAGAAACTGAATCTATCATAATAATAAAAAAAGCTAGTACTAATATATTGTTCAACTATAACAACATAAATTTATATTTAATTATTATGTCAATAAGTATATATATATTTTTATTTTTATTTTTTTTTTGGTGTAAATCTTCGGAGGAGCCTACGCAGTAATTCAAAAAAGGATTTAAGGTCCTTAAAAGAAACCCCAAGCTCACTAATGCTCACAGGAGCTACAAAATAGAACAAAATAAAACCAAAGAGTTGGTGATTCATTATACTAAGATTTATAAAAATACCTACTGATATTCTAGGGCTGCAAGTAGACATCACCCAAAAAAGGAAGAACTAGAAAAGAGCAATCAGCACATTCTTCCTGCAAAAAAAATAGGCAAACCTCCAATTACCAAAAAATCTTGAGACCGCGATCTCCTTGCAAAAAATGTAGAGCCAATTATCCAGCCTCCAAATCTGCACAATTAAGACACTCCAACACAAAAGGGTAATGTGACAAAGAGGATGAAACCAGTAAAGACAAAGGTAAAAGTTCAAATAGTTGTTATTAAAAAAGAGAGATAAGGTGTTAAGCCCAATGTCAGCCAAACTACCAGTTTCAATGAGAGCAAATATAGCAACCACGGCCAGAGTAATGAGTAGCAAGGTACCATAAATATCACCAATAAAATACACTATAAGAACCGTGTAAAGAGCACCAGACTTCCCAGAATTGATCCTGTCACAATTCTCTGCATATCTCGCAGCAATACAACCTCCAAACAGCCAAAAATTAGGGCAATAGAAAATAACAATTAAAGAAGGACCTGGGACCCCAAGACAAATCGACAACAACCACCCACCAAAAGTATGTCAGAATAAACAGAAAACATATCCAACCACCTCGCAGACAACCCAAAAAATCAATTCTCCTGAAACAAACCGAGAATATATAACAACTCCAGATAACAACACCCAGCACAATAGAAACACACATTAATCAGAGAACTTACAAAAGCATTATGCATTATTACGAATGTCAGAATAACAGAAAATATATCCAACCACATAGCAGCTAACACAAAAACTAATCCACCTAAAGCAAACTGATGATATTTAACAACTTCATATAACAGCTACCAGCACAACCATACCATAAGCACATACACACATTAACTAGAGAGCTGACAACTAGAGGTGTCCGATGCATCAAAAATAGAACCAGAAACAAGGCGGAAGAACACAAAAGAATGATCAATCAAGCATTATGAATATAAGGAAGCTCGCATTTGTTTAGGTTAACCATACCTCTTTACAAAGTAGGAAGATTAGAAACATCAAATTCTTATAAAACATCAATGTGACATCCAAATTTTGCCAACCAATCCGCACAAGAATTACTTTCACAGAAAATATGAGAAATAGTGTAGTTAAGAGAGAGAGAGAGAGAGAGAGAGAGAGAGAGAGAGAGAGAGAGCTTGATTTTTCTAATAATATAGAAATCATGAGGATTCCCAGTCACCTCTTTTTGAATGATATGAATTAAAAGTTTAGCATCAACCTTAATTGCCACATGCTCTATGCCCAATCTATAACAGATATTCAACCCGTGAGATAAACCTATAAGCTCAGCAGTAGTGACAATACATAAATTAAGTGGACCAGAAGAGGTAGCAATAACCCCACCATTATGATTAAGAATGATACCACCAATGCTCATAAAAATAGTACCAATTGACCCATCTGAATTCAGTTTAACATAAGGGGAGGATGGTTTGCACCATGTCACAATACGATCAATTTTTTCCACCGACCCACCATCAATAGGAATGCCAAGTTTTTTTTTTGAAGAAATGCAAATTGCATTAAAAGAAGAAAACCTAATACAATCTAGAAAGCAAAAGCAAACCCTTTAAAACTATCATAATAGGAATGCCAAGTTGAAAAGCTAAATGATGACAATTTTTAAAGTTTTTAATAGAAATAAGATTGATAGACTGAAAGTGCAAAAATTTATTTCTAATATTGGTAATAATTTGGTTAGCATCCATCTTAATCTCATTATGCTTAGAGTCATTCATAGCCTTCCAAACATACCACATAATCAGAATCAACATTAAATTGTAGATGTGATATTTAGTGCTACTGAACCAATATTTAAGAATGGATGCAACATCGCAATTAGCATTCATAATACCTTTGTCAACCAAATTAAAAAAATGGCACCAAACCTTTTGGGCAATCACCCCATTAAAAAAAAAAACATGATTTACACTCTCAATATTAAAGCAACATTAACACTTAGAAGGAAAAGTAAACCCTAATCTCCAAAGTAAATTATCGACCGAAAGGTAACCTTTAAGATACACCTAAACCAAAATAGAATAAGATAAATGAATATTGTTATGCTAACTATAAGCAAATATTTGAGAGACATCCCCTTTAATTCTAAGAGCATCCCAAACTTCTTCAAATTGAAATTACCAGAAGAAGATAAATTAAAAAGAATTTTATCCTTGCATTGTAATTGTAATGGAACATGCAAAATTTTATCAATCATATCATCCAGGATAACCTCCAACAATTTACTAACATTCCATGCACCTTTTTGAATAAAAGTGTGAACCTTAGTATTATTATTAGTATGGGTGTTAAGATAGCTAACAATAGAAAAAGTACCCAACCAATTATCTTGCCAGAAAGAAATATCACCTTTCCTAAGCCCCATTGAATAAATTACTTAGCCTCCCAATTGATGTTGCAAAGCCTTCTCCAAACAAAAGAGTCAGAAGATTTATAGTTGAAAACCAGATGATGAAGATCTTTGCAATATTTAACATTAATATACCGAGCCCACAAGCTATTTTTAACTATAAAAGAAAACTATAATTTATGAGAGAAAGCATGAACATTATCTAAAATATTCTTGCAACCTAAAGCCCCCTCATTGAAAACCCCACAAACATTATTTCAAGAAGCCCAATTAATACAAGAATGATTGTTTTTCGATCCCCAAAAAAAATTATTGAGCATTCTCTCCATTCTTAGAAAAGTAGTGGAGGAAGGTTGCAAAGTGTGGAAAATAAAAATAGGAATCGAGTTTAAAACACCTTTAATCATAACCAACCTACCACCAAAAGAAAGAAAATTAGATGACTAGTTTAAGAGTTTTCTTTGAAACATCATAAAAATATTATCAAACAGAGTATTTCTTTTTCTCCCCTTAAAAAGAGGGGTACCTAAATATTTAATAGGAATGACATTATATATATATATATATATATATAGGATAATGCCATAGTGAGCTTATGTGTTAATATAAAAAATGGGAGTATAATGTCCTCAATGGGGATCGAAAAATCAATAAATCCTTAAAGAGCTACAAGACAAAAAAAACATATGGAGTCTAAAATTGCATATTAGTTATAAAGAAGAAAAGGACAACAAGAAGCATACCCAAAAAAAGCCAAAATGATAAACATCTAAGAATAAATCAATTGTGGACCAACGATGCGATCGAATATGCAAAAAAAAAAAAAAAAAAAAAAAAAAAAAAAAAAAAAACATCAATTAAAAAAAAGCAAGAAATCAAAACTAATGATAAAGAAATCCATCATGTACATAACAGATGGATCCACATGCAAATTGGAGCACACACAGTCAACATAAGGACACCCAAAATAAAGTAGTTCACCTAAAATGAAAACAACAAATAACAAAAAGAATACCCAACAAACCAGGAGTAAAAGAAGGCTAAAGGAAAAAATATACTCAACCCAAAAGAAAGGAAGAAACTAAAAAATGATCAAATAACAAAACCTCCGACAAAGAGGCGACTTACCACGAATGACACCAAAACATAGACGTCAACCAATGGAAACTCCAACACCTAAAACAACCAAAACTAACTAGAATATAGAAGCCAACAAGTAGAAACCATCAACACCCATAACGACCAAATAATAAAAGACAACACCATAACAACATGCCCCCATAAAAGCACATGCCCCCTTAAA